ACATTTAGGTGTCGCACGAAAATGTGCGACGTGGCCTCAGGGTAACATCTGGGTGTCGCATGAAAACGTGCGACGTGGCAGCCAACGTGTTAAAGCAAAAACTGGTTCCTTTTAATCACGTATTTATATCTTACGAACCAATTTCGATTTTCGGAATCACCGCGCAATTTTACACAGGAATTGGATTCTGGCGTCTGGAGAACAATTTTGCTGTAAACCAGTGTAATAGATTGGCGCGTACAGAATACATTAGTCTTTGGCAGAGCATCCCATCCTATTTGTGGCAGGCTCATTGATGTTGTCATAAAAAGTGGAGGGACCTAAAGTTTACGCCGACGCCGAACGGCGATTGTATTTTTATGAGAAGCTGTTTTTCATGGCTGAATAAACTCAGAGGTTTGCCATTGCCTGTGGAGGGGCGACCGTTATTAAAAAAATGTTTGTGTTTTTTTATTTTTTGATGTTGGTCGGAAATGGGGCTCGAACTCGTGCCTTGCGGAATGGTAGAGCCCACTGCTAATCACTACACCACAGCGGCAGCATGTACAGACATACATATGTATAAATATTCATAGTAATTATGTATGTGTGTAGATTAGGGTGGTCCAAAAACAGCAAAGTCGGAACTGTAATGCTCTCACGCCTTTTATTGAAAAAAAGTATACCCCTATTTTTTTATTTTGAAATCAAAAAATATTTAGAGGTCGCTCAAAGTTTTCAATGTATTTTTATATGGAAAAAAACAACTTTTCTTGTAAATGTTGTGGAATTCGTGAAAATCAATATTTTTCGATCGGAAAACTCTGGTTATCTTCAGAAGACTTTCAATAATAATACCCAATGGTTTATTTAACCATGTTTTAATACTAACGATTTTTTATTGGCTCCCATTGAATTTTTCAGGGTTTTTGTGGGTTTTTGGCGGACCTAAAAATTATAGTTGCGATGAAAAAATGGTTAAATAAATAATTGAGTATTTTTATTGGGCATCTGCTGCACAGAAACAGTGTTATCCGATAGAAAATATTAATTTTTAAGAATTCTATACCCTTTCTACGAAAAGCTGTTTTTCCCCATACAAAAAACATGGAAAACTTTTGGCGCTTTGAGCGACCTCTAAATATTTTTTGATTCCAAAATAAAAAAATAGGGGTATACTTTTTCGGTATAGAACAATCCTAGGGGGTGAGAGCACAAAAATTCCGACTTTAAATTTTCACGTGTATTTTTGGACCACCCTAGTGTAGACATATTTGTAGGTACATATCGTCGGTTAAGGTACAAAACCGCTTATCAAGAATATGCGCAACCTCGTTGCCCAAATTTTGTAGGAGAGGCTAAAGTTTGTCTTATTTTAGAACAGTTCTTTCTTTTTATCCCAAATTATCTCTTCTCCCTATATCTAAGTATCGAGATTTTAGTATGAATGGACAAGGGCTTGATGCCAGCAGCTTCCGGTGAGCAAATCCAATTTTCGGCACAAATTTCAGTTACGAAGTTTTGCAGAACCACGATACGCCATTTTTATATTTTTACCGCCCATGAATAGAAGATTGGTTTGTTTGTGCACGAGTGCAAATCCGGTCTGCGTTAATTATGTTAACGGAGTGGAGCGTCAGACAGAGCAGACAATGGGCGGTAGGGAAACACTCGATTGATTGAAATACGAATTCACGCGAAAATGCATTTACGCTGAGAGCATCAAAGTGATTTCAATTACAGTGTTATTCGCTTTACAGTGCAGAAAGTAGGAATAGGAAATTGGAAATTGGAAAAAAGGAATGTACATGCAACACAGAAACATACAGTGACTCACACAAGTGTTCGCGTGTTGATTTTTAAATATTCACAACATTTTTCAAGTAATTTTTATAAAAATATTGTCCATGCTTTAGCCAAAACCATATAACCAAGAGTTTCAAACTTTATACAAAATTTAGGAAAATTTATCAAATTTTCATCAAAATTTCGAGCTTTTTAATCTGCATATCTACAATATTTTTGTATGCAGTTTTATAGCCCATATATAACTTTAGTCTCAAGCGTCTAAAAAATCGCTTTGATTTTTAATATTTTTTTTTGCTGACGGATTTTTGCACTTTAATCCATATTAGCATGCATTTCCTATAAAATAAAATGCGGGAGACCGTTCGCAACAAAATTTATAAAAATCAGCGCCAGTTTTTGTAAATTGCACTTGTTCTATAAAAAAAAAACGGGAAAAAATTATTAAAAATCAATGCAATTTTTTAGCCGCTTGACACTTGCACTTCAGTTATGGGCTTTAAACCTGCATGCAAAAAAAATGTTGTACAGACTCAGATTAAAAAGCTCAAAATTTTGATGAATTTTCCTAAATTTTGTATAAATCTTGAAAAAAAAATAACACGTGAACACTTGTGTGAGTCACTGTATGTATGTTTACATGTTCTTCAAAAAACGTTTGATAAAATGAAAAGAGACCAATTAAAAGACCGACAACCACTTAAGCCCGGTAGATAAAAAAATACACTTCAGTAGTTAAAATTGTAATGGAAACCGAGGAATTTTCTGAAATTGTTAAGTAAAATACAGATTTAAATGTAGTTATAAGACTATTGGGTGGTTCACAAGGTGTCGTACTTGTCGTATTGTTGTATGTTGTAAAGTTTTTAACGGCTAAATAAACGTTTAGAGGACTTGAAATCACCACCAACTATTTTTTAATTGTGTGAAATTTCATAATAAAACTTTTATGTTAGCTTGCGAATTCCTTAAATATAGTTTTAGTCGTTTAAAGTTTATGACATACAACAGTACGACAGTATACAACACCTTGTGGACTCCCTATATGATTATATGTGCATACGTCGACTAATTAACTTAGTGACATTTTGACCAATTTTTGACTATTTTTCTTTTGTTTGCTTATCTAATGTTCATTATTTTTTTTTTTATAAAAGTATAGCTCATTATAAAAAGCCAATAACTCCGCATTTCAAACAACTTTTCACCAAAACTTTAAAATTTTTATTAATAAGTTTCAAGTGGCTAAGAACGCTTTTATCAACTTACTTTCTTGTTTGTTTGTTCAGATGCCTTTGCTATAATAAAAGTTTCTATAAAACCTAGTCTAGACATCAACCTCGTCGGTAGATATCATATCAAAGAACAAACAATTAGCAACACTCGCTAGAAGAATATACATATTTAACAACGCCTAAAAATATGCACTACGCTAAAGCGGATCCGAAGATAGTTAAAAATACGTCTGCCATATTGGATCCGCCATTTTGAAATTTGCAAATCGGACTTATCCCAAAGACATTTTAATATGTCATGACTACGGTGAGCATATTAACCAACGTAAAATAAAGGAAATTTTTTTTCGAAATACAACTCGTATGATAAAAGTACCTTGCCCATTTCGTAATTTAAATCAAATATTCACCAGTTCATTATATTATTTAATTGTACAAGTTCCCCCGCTGTAGCGAAAAATTAAGCCAAATCCTTTTCAAGGACTTCGCTATCCTTTGCTACCAAAATGAGTTTACCATAATTCATACTGCACGACGAAGATAGCACACAGTGGTTCAACATTGGAATTCAGCGCACATAATCCACCGGAGCCTTCATTATTCCACTAATTTTTACTAAAAACCAAAAAAAAAATAGTTATTTTGGTGAACATTTTATTATAACATTTCAACATTTTTTTGTGTATTTTTTTTTTGTTTTGGGAGAACCATACAATTTTTTTCAACTGGTTTTTGTTATGTAACATCTATTAACTGGAACAGGAGAATACATTTTCTTCAAAATTGCTAGTTTTTCGGCATTTTGAACTAAAAAATTTAATATAATCAAATTAAAATTCAGAAATCAGGCTCCATTGGTCTCTTGAAAATATTGTAAGCTTTCAATTAAAATTAATCAAATTTAGTGAAAAATGAAGTGAATGAATGCCAGTATTGAGCCACTGTGCAGCAGGGGGTTTATTGTTCTCTTTCAGTGGAACTGGAAATTCAGCGTGCAACACGATTCTGGCCACAACTTTCTTTATAGATTAAACAAAGATTATCGGAAACAAATTGGCGAAAGTTTTCATTATATTTTATAAGGGACCTTTTTATTTTTCATATTCTGCCTTTATAAATTTCTTTCTGAAAAATGCAGAGCCGATTTAAAGCAGCACAGTTTAAGAAATAAATGACAAAAGGCGTCCTTTATTTAAAAAAAAAAAAAAATTAATAAAGGATAGGGTGTTAAAATAAAGGACGGATGGTCACCGTACCCAACAGTTTTGCACAGTAATGACGCCATTTTGAATTTAAAATTCTACCACTTTGCAATCGAAAGGGTATAATAATAATAATAATAGATTGGCGCTTACACATACGTTAGTGTTTGGCCGAGCTTCTCCAAGCTTACGAGTATTTTAACTTACTATATGTTTACTTTAGTTGCTTAGAATTTTGGATAGAGCTCTGGGCTGGTTGATGTGAAACGTCCCATTTTTATGTATATACAGGAATTGCTCGTTTAAAGTAATGAGATTATAAGACTATTATATAAATACATATGTACATATTTAATTTATGCATAAATTTTAGTAAATTACTGCCATTTTATAACATAACTTCAGTAAAATACTTTGGATTAAATTGCCCTAAGTGAGTAACTTTTCTAAACTATTTAATTTGAAAGTGGCATAAGTCACTTTACCGTAATGAAAAGTGGTGGATTTTTCCATGACTATACGAAATTACTTATACTGCAAAAAATATTGGTATCCTACATAAACAAATACAAGTAAATCGTTTCGAAGGTTGGCATCAATATTTCTAAAAGTACTAAAACGCAAACCCTAACATATATCGATTTAAAAACAAAGGCACTTATGCCACTTTCAAAATAAACGGCTCATACTATGTACGTACATACATCATTAAACCTGGCATTTGGGAATCTTCACAAAATGCCAGTAGAATAAAATGTGTGATATTTATTTCACTTACCTCCCAGATGAGACGAAAATCCTGTTGCTCCACGCGAAGCAGTTCGCAGGTGGTTTTTGTGACGACAGTGCTGTCCCGGGGAAGATCATGCAATATGGATTCACCGAATGTAGCGCCCACCCCGAGGTTGCACAATGTTACAGGCGCCTATAAGGAAACAAATAAATTATTGCACATTAAATAAAATGTGAAAAAATAACTTACTGATCTTCCTATTGAATAAATTAAATGATGCATTTCAATTTAAGTAATTTTTTTTAATTCGGGAGCAGAATAGAATCTTTCTAAACAGTAAAAATTCTTTTAAATTAAGGTCCTTTGCGTTAGTTATTATTTGCAAGGACAATAGGGCGGATACTGTGACTTAAGAAAATATTTTTATTACGAATGAAATATAGTATAGTAGAAATAGTAGAGGTATGTATGTATGTATATATTACAAAAGTTAACTTGTTTGTACTATTTTATGTACTATTTTGTTAGTATAGAAAGGCCCTAACTACTTTCAATATTTGTTTTTTTCAAAAGCCGGATTACTCACATATCGTCGTTTAAAGTACAAAACCGCGTATCGTCGTTCTGCAAAACCGCGTTACTGACATTTTTTGCCAAAAATTGGATTTGCTCACCGAAGCTCTTGGCTCAGGCCTTATCCATTCGTCCTGAAATATACTAGCCGGAAATGCGATCGCTTTATAAAAGAGAGAACAATATGATTGTTTTTAATCTGAACAAAATAATTTATACATCCCCACATACGCGGTTTTGTACTTTAAACGACGATTTGAACTTACTTATGTATATAAGAAAAAACACTGTTCAAAGTTGCACATATTCATTCTTGTTTGTTAAAACGATATGAATTCATTTGGTCAATAATCCTATAGTATTTTGATTTGTGTTTTATGTTAAAACCCAGCAAACATTGAGGTTAGTTATCGATTAGAGACTGATTGGAGGGCTAGCCACATTCTCCAATCTCAAACGTTAGAGAACGACTCGAAAAACTATCGAGAATCATAGCGATCTCAACAAAAATGGGACATAGTTCTCGACTCGAGAAAATATTAATTCTCTAATCGTATTCCAATGTTGATCTCTAATGGGATTCGAATGTGAATTTCAAACTGCTGTTTTGCCTTGCTTTGTTTGTAAAATTTGTATTAAATGTATTTGCAATAAAATAATAATGAATT